ACAATTAACATAGACAACATAGAGAGCTGCAAACCCCATTTCCAAGAACTCAAACTTCTAACACTACCCTCTTTAAACATCCTGGAAATGTGTTAGAAATAATGAAAAACTTTACATTACACGCGAAAACACACAGACCCACTACACCCTACGACAAAAAAATAGACTAATCCTACCAGGTTCTAAGCTAAAAGTACACTACTCCACAAGCACTTTAGTAATGGCAGGTAAAATATATAATAAATTACCAGATGACATTAAAAATGAACAAAAATGTAATAATGATAAATAAATTAAAAAAACTTTTAATGCATAAATGCTATTATAATGTACAGGAATATTTAAATGATAAATTTAATAAATAAAGCAAAAATAACACTGTAATCTATACCTAATAACAATTAAAATGTATTTGTACTCAATTAGTTATAAGTTATATAAGCCTATCTACATAAAAATAATGAAAAATTGTAAACATATATTTATACTAGCCCTCCTCATAAAAAAATACTAATATTGTTATGCCCGACAGGGCCCACAATGTTCCTAAACTAATATAAGTATGTAAATCCTTATGTACCCTACCACCTAAGTTCACATTGTGGAATGCAATAAATATATTGAGTATTGAGTATTGAGTATTCGTTCCGTGCGGGAATCGAACCCGCAACACGCTGCGCGGCAGCCAGTTGCCCAGGCACCGCGCCATCCGTGCACTCTAACACACCGTTTACTCAAATTCAAATCTCGAAATTGTCTATTTATAAGTATGCGATTCTGTGCTGCAAATATCTAGAGGACCTTGAGACCAATCACAGCAATTACTAGTACATATACACGTTAATTAGTCAGTGTATTTATATTTTTCATTGATATGAAATCACATCTTTCATTAAGGTATGGTAAAGATACTGGTTCATATCATCACTACATGGTATAACAAAGTCGCTTTCTCTATCCCTATATCCCTTTGTATGTTTAAATCTTCAAAACTACGCAAATTATATTGATGCGATATTTTTAAATAAAGAATTTTAAGAGAAAGATTTACATGTATAGTATAACATCCATTTAATAGTGGAGAAACTTAGTGTCATCATTCCACCCTTTTCGAAGCCGGGGCTGGTCGCTAGTCTATACTAATATTATGAATAGGTAAAATTTGTAATAAGTTTGTATGTAGGTGGTAATCTTTGAAACCGCTGGTCGGATTTCCGTAATTCCTTAGTGCTATGCCAGTATTCCAATAATGCTAATGCCAATATTCCTTAGTGCTATAGGCTATAAAACATCACGCTACGATTAAATAGAGCCGAGCAGCGAGTGAAACCGCGCGGGAGTAGCTGGTATAACAATATAGGTAAGGGATGCGATTTTAGTCGTAAATTTTCTTTGCTCGACTATCTTTTTATTTTAAGCCTGGTTTTTTTCTACTTAATCAACGTATCCTGAGTGACTTGGTAAATCCAAAGCATTATGTAAATAGGATTATAATTCCACGGCTACACTTGAGTGAACTCACATGGAATGGAAAATACAAACATTGAACTACAGGTCTTTGCTGTTATTAAGACAGATTGGTAAAAACCAGTGACTATTTTTACACAACAGATACTGGAATAATACTGAACTCGTTCTTTAAGTTTTTATTTTTTTATTATAACAGTTTTTTATTCAAATTTAGAATGATACAAAATTATTATTAATGTAACTACTAACTGCGAACTGCTTTGATGTTGAGTACATCAGTCCACATTAATTTGAGTTTTATTGCCTACCAAAAATAGGAAGTTTTAACGTTTTTAATAATTGTTTATGATGATTTCTTATAACGAACCGATGATTAAAATAATGTAATACGCGTAAGATATGCCGCCAATTATACTCAATAACCTACTCAGCCTGGTTTCGTTTGAAGTTATTTTGAGTCAAATCATACAAAGCCTAAAAAAATGTTTTAGTATGGCTTTTTTTTTGTGAGGGGAAATCATCAAATGACTTCTCCAGGGCCGGGCAGGAGGGAGTGTCAGACTCTTACTGACTAAAAACCCCCCTGTTCCTTCTCCTGCTCTGTGCCGAGGTCGCGGTACCTCATTGCGCTTACCCCGCAACCCCGGCTGAACATCAACCCTTTAGGGCCCCGTCTGTGGTGGTCGAATGGCTCTTTGAGGCGCGCGCGGAACGCTACGCGCCGTACGCTCGGGCCTGGTTCTGGTCGGGCGGCGAGCTGCCCTTACTCGCCGACCGCAGGCCCGTGCTTACGGTGGCCGGAGATCGTCCCTCGATCCCCGACGCCCGTAGTGTCGCTAGTTGCGGCTGGGGCGTGAGGAGGAGGATTGCTCCCTCACGCGGGCCGCCTCTCTCTTTGCGAGCATGACTGCTTCACTAAAGGAGGAGACGGCGTCCCAGTTCCTCTCACTCCGCACCATGGCCTCGACTAAGCCAGGGTATGGCTAGTACTAAAATAATTGTGAATTACTCCTAAAAATATTATTTGATCTCAGGGCAGATCTGCATTACACGTAGGACAGGTTAACCTCGAACATTTTTGAACCTGAACGGCCACGAGATAGTTGGGTGAATGAGGTTACTGGAAGCCCCATAATGTCCTCCTGTCCCCAATCCCTTTATTCTCATAGATTCAGATTTATTTATTTATATACACTACCTAATTTTTTTTCTATCCTCAAACACCGGCAATGCGCTTTCAACTGTAATGTTGCTTGTGACCAATGTGACCAAAGCCGATGCTGATTGTAAATCATCAGGTAATTTGTCTGCTTGTTTGCTGGCTTATTTCAAAAAAGCGTCAAACCAGATTTATTGGGGAGCCCTAAGCTATGTATAGTGCTCAGGTATAGTGGATTGGGTCCGTTGTTATCGCAGCGGCGAGAATGCCTTTGTAAAATGGCTTGAGAGACGGTCGTAGGAAAAGCCTGGATTTTGTCATTGTTAGGAGCACCCTGAAAGCATGTTGGAGACAGAACGGATTGGTTTTTAGTAATGTTGTAGCGTCAGTCAGTCACGCCCGCTTTCCGAAAGGCCGATCAATGTTAAAATCAATTTAATCTCTTGTCAAGTCATCTGATTGGTTGACTGAATTATCAAAAACCTATCAGATGACTTGACAAGAGATTTAACAGGTGATTACTTAATTTTAGCGTTGAAAAGCCTTTCAGAAACCGGGTGTAAGTCTATCAGGTAGAGCGTGAGTGTACGAGGCGGGAAAACTCGTTACGATTTTCCAATTTTAACATTAAATTGTCATCCCATGTATTTTATTTTTATGTTTATCTGTACTTTTTTAATAAAATAAAGGTTTAAAAAAATAAAACTAGAGAAATCAAATAAAATTATTATATATAATAAGTAACTGAACCTATAGTCCAATTACTAAGTACATAACATAGATATGTATATACTCGTTTAGTGACCTATACCTAGAATAGCTACACAATAATAAAACTAAAAAAACAGACTAAGAATTAAAATAAATAAAAAATAACATTCAATCAATTACTTATGTAGTATAGGGATATAATTTTAATATCTAGACTGGATTAACTACAGCTGACTGACTGTTCGGGGTTAAGAGAAAACCAAACCTTGGCTGGAATATAAAATCTATGCTCGCACTTTAAGAGACGAATGTAAACTATACTTAGTTATTCAGTGGTCACACCATAATATTGGGGGCTAATTTATTTTTAACCGACTTCAAAAAAGGAGGAGGTTCTCAATTCGACGCGTATTTTTTTTATGTTAGTACACCGATTACTCGAAGACGTCTGGACCGATTTGCTAAATTATTTTTTTATTTTATTTGACCCTATAAAATGAAAAAAAAAAATTGAACATTTTCTTATTAATTCTCATTTAGTTTTATTCTGTTCAGGGTTTGGCACCGACTTCAAAGCTATGAATAGGTATCACATAGAATTGATAGTGTTTTATTATTAATATTAAAAGTATTAGCTTCGCGTACGTAAGAGTGGTGTTAAAATATCTATTCTAATTATTTGTCACTTTTTTGTTTTTATCTTCGTATAGTGTCGGTTATAAATAATATTGGAGAACTTATTATTTGATTACACCATTTACTGAGTAGATAACGGATTACGTAAAAAAATCTTCATAAAAATGTAATGAAATTCATACAATCAACGGAATTCAACCGATAGTTGACAGGAATCGGTGAAAAAAAAATTGACGATTATTTTTCGATGAGATGTTCTTAAATGTATTTGAATATCATGTAATTATTTTATGTATTGATGGCCGCATAGAAGGTGCACTCGTTCTAGCATGTCTCTTGAATTAAGATACTGAAGGCTTAAAATGGTACGAAAGGTCTTGCAACTTTTCCAATGTGTACTTGTACTTGTAACTTTTTCGCTGTTCATTAACCAGGGCGGCTCCAAGTGGTTACTATCAGATTGTCGGTAAAATCCACACACAAACCTTGCTAGACGAGTGGAAAGTTTAAAATATGGAATATAATATGTTCCATGCATATCAATTTTTGATTGAGGGAGAGAAAAAAGATTATGATAGTCATCATATCATATATAATCTTTTTTCTACCTCAATCAAAAATTTAAAATAGTGTAGGCAGTGTAGATAATGATAAAAATGTAAACAATTCCGCTCTTGTACGGAAACGTGCGACTTAAAAAATAAGCTAGCACAAGTTTTTGAATGACCCCACGTCTACCACAAGCAATCTGATTAACAAAACGTCAAGGAAGTATAGAAGTAAAACAACTAAAATTCAAACAAAAACAAACAAATATAAACAAAACAATTAAACACAACAAAAATGCAGATTCGTTGCAAGAGCGACGGAAACTTACAAACAAAGATATCGTTCGTTCTTAGATATGCTATTTTTATTTACAAAATCAAAACAAGAAAATCCCAAGTACCAATTAAGTTTGTGACGTGTAAAACATAAAACTTGTTTGGTGCCAGGACTTGGGAGGCGATGTCCTAGTATATAATGAAATACTGACCCCGACTACTCCATACGGACTTAGCTCGTGCACCAGTCATCATCAACCAAATCTTGAATTTCAACGTGAGTAGTTTTGCATATTGCAATTCAATTAATATTCATATAAAATAGAACAAATAACTCTCGCGTCTAGACATTAAAGTTGTTTTTTGCTTTTTAACGTTTCATTCGTTTTTTATTAAGTATTGATAAATGTAATATTATTTTTTATGGCTACTAGATAATGTGTTAATGCATTTTAGGGGTTTTGAAAACTTGTTTTTAATAATTGTACTGAGTTTAAGAGTGGTATATAATACAAAAGTAAACTCCATTCGTTGAACTGAGAAAGAAGAATACTTACATTTATAATTTAAGTCATGTAGAATTTTATTTCTTAGACACTAATGTGTCTAAAAAACAAATCAAACTATTACTACGTGCGGGTAGTGTTTTATTATTCCAAGCTTGAATTTGTTTTTATTGGAAGTTTCTTGCACTTGTAAAACTATAATATTCTTCAAATACGAAGAAGAATTATAATTTTTGGAGCAAAATCGTTAAAAAAATAATGTTCTAAAATTGTATTTAGTGTTTAAATTGAATAAACATATTTTTATTTATATGTGTAGAGTGGTACCGTTTATTGACAATTATAATATACATACACAAAATAATTGGGTTAAGTAGGAAGTTAGGTAATATTACAAAAATCTTAAAAGCTAAGGGTTTTAAGTTTCACTCTAAAGTCAGTGTTACTTTTTAACTTTTATAATTAAATAGATAGCTTATTTATAATAAGCTATCATCATCAGTATCGATCAAAAACTAAAATAAATAAAAGTATTCTGTAGTTAGAATTAATATTAGTGGTCTGATTAAATTATACATCGGACTTACAATGTCGTCCAATAATTGGGTAATTTCCTAGGTCAAAAATAAATTAATTTGACGTTTCATTAAATAAAATATTGATAAATAACTATACCTTTATTCATTGACCTATCGATGCACAAAATTTTCAATAATTTTTAGCTAATTTTTAAGAAATAATAAAATAAGCGATTTGACGCAAAAATACTATTACGTCATAATTTGAAGTTTCACACAAATTTCACAGAAAAGTATCGTTTTTGATATTTGCATAAAAGTATTTAATTTGAACAGTTGGAAACTACCGTATTTCTTTATTTCTTTTACTTTTATTTAGGGCTGATTTTTCAATGGTTAGATGAAAGTTATCTGGGAAATAATTATGTCGCTGTCGCGTCAGAATATTTGTGTAAGACAGTGACAGCAACAATTTTATTCCTCAGATAACATTTATATGACAATTGAAAAATTAGCCCTTAGTGTAGAAAAAAATACATAAGTCGATCGTAATGCCATATGGCATTCTCGAACATTCAAATTTAAAACACGGTTGTACCTACACCTATCATCGAAATATAGGTACGTTTACTAATAACATATTTATTTATTATAGCAACTATTTTTTCTTATTTCACAGAATCCTTCATCATGAAAGTCGTGTTTCTTGTGTGTGTCGTGGCTGCGGTGGTGTACTCCCACCCCCACGACTCCCACTACACCGACAAGTACGACAACATCGACCTGGACGAGATCCTGAACAACAAAAAAATCCTGACTTCTTACATTAACTGCTGTCTGGACCTTGGCAAGTGCACGCCTGACGGCAAGGAACTGAAATGTAAGTTGCCTTATTAGACTAATTATTATTTGATATGAAAATAGCTAGTAGTTTTCTGGGAGTTAAAAAATTGGCACATTAATAAATTTTGACGTGCTTTTTTCTTTATCGATTTTTCCCACACCGCAATTGCAAAAAACGAGCACATGAAGTGAAAAAATGGAAATTCGATTTTGAGCATTACAGTTAAAGACTTTGAAAAAATCTGGCCGTAATTAGTTGGTGCGCAAAATCAAACAATTTTTTTAATACATATATCTAGAACCAAATTACATAAAAACTAAAAAATTAACATAAAACACCTAACTTAGTTAATTTTAACACAGTTGTCTAAATTTCTGAATCTCTATTCACAGCGCACATTAGGGAAGCGTTGGAGAACAAATGTGGAAAATGCACTGAAGCTCAAAAGAATGGTACACGCAAGGTCATGACCCACCTCATCAACTTTGAGCCAGACTACTGGAACCAACTCTGCGCCAAATACGACCCTGAAGGAAAATACAAAGCCATGTACGAAAAGGAATACAAAACTCTTGTACACTAAATAGCTTATTTGATGAAAATAAATTATTTTGATTAACCATTCCGTTTTTTCTCTGTCCCTCAATTATTCCTAGCCTGTTGGAAATGCAATGGATTTTTTATTATTTTTGTTGTCCATAGCTAGTTTAAGTATCACCTTCACAAGTTAGCCTTCGTAAAAACTTCCTTGCCGAGCCATTTTAATACGTAAGTATTTGTTTATATTAACGCGTTTTATAAGAAACTGTTTTATGAGACGCTTTGTTCTAAGGTCAGATCTAGGAAGTGTAATTGACTAGATCTTGTATGTAGAAGAATCACAATGTAAAAACATGTAAACTATTTCATGATTTCGCTACATTATAGTAGGTAGTTATTAATTACACAAATGGTACACTTTATTATATACTAGCGTTTTCCCGCGACTCCGTTCCCGTGGAATAGTGACCTTCTGCAGATTTTTGGTATAAAAACTATCCTGTCCTTTCTCGAGTTCTAATATAGTAACTATGTCTGTGCCAAATTTCATAGAAATCAGTTTAGAAGTTTAGGCGTGAAGAAAAGACAGACATACAGACAGACAGAGTTACTTTCGCATTTATAATATAAGTTTGGATTAATCTAGAAGTTTGTAAGCTTTGGAATATTTGGTTAACTTGAGTAAGTATTAAATAAAGAACTCAAGTGCCTATCAGGTGCTTAAGAATGACATGAATAGGTATTTTATTCGCGGATATATATTGTTCAACAAAAACAGCATTAGTATGCATAAGTACGTTGTATAACATGCAGTTTACCTAATTGTTTAACTCAAGAGGCGAATATTAGTCAAGACTTTGTTGCTGTTAAGTATACCTACTACAAGAATAGAAAAAAGAGATCTTTTGATTGATTGCAGTACTCAAAGGCATTGATGATTTTTCTTATGTGATAAGTCGGCAAACGAGCAGGCGGTTACCTGATGGTAAGCAATTAGCGCCGCATATAGACAAACGCAGCAATAGAGGAGTTAAAAGTGCGTTGCTGCCCTTGTGGGGATTAGGGATTAAGAAATTTTAGGATTGGGCCTCCGGTAACCTCAATCACACGGCGAAATAAAACGCCGTGTGTGGTTGTTTCACGCCGGTTTTCTGTGAGGCCGTGGTATTACGCCTGTCGAGTCGATTCATTTGTGCTAAAACATGGCTCTCCCACACTTAAATACTAAAATTTAATTTATTCCTTTTTAACCATTTTGTTCCGAAAACTGTTTTAAGTTCTTGTTCAATCAGTTTAGTATATGGACATCAGAATTTATGGCTTGGTAGGTCCAAGCAATGATGATGCCTGAGTATTTAAACATCGTAGTGACCAAGAAAATTATTTACATCATGGTCTTGATGTAGGTAAACCTGACTTAGAGGTCAGAAATCACTTCAAGTCTAATGATTGTCAACGAAAAAGTTAAGTATAGACTGCTATAGATATGTTGTTTAAGTCTTGATAACGTAGTAGGCTTTTGAACTGTTAGTAACAAAAGGTACAGTCGATAATCCTTCAACATAATGTTGACTGCGCGGTTGTGGCTGCCGCGCAATGTGTCGCGGGTTCGATTCCCTCACGGAACAACTCTTTGTGTGATCCACAGATTATTTTTCCGGGTCTGGGTGTGATGTGTATGTGAAATTGTATGTTTGTAAGCGCACCCACGACACAGGAGAAAATAATAGTGTGGGGCAACTATTTAAAAAAAATGTAGGTATAGCTCTGTAACAATCAAAACAAAATATGAGTAAAATAAATGAACATAGCACAATATTTGTCCAGTAGTTGATCGATGCTCGAAAATACACCAAGGAATTGTTTGTTCGATTAAAGCAAAGCAATCACTTGAGCAGCTTGTTTTTTCCCTTTTGCACTCTGGACGGGTTTATAAATAACCGGCAAATAGTTGAAAACCTTCAACTCTGTATACCTATACAAATTAAGTTAAATATATGAGTACGTATTATGTGGTGTCTGTGTTTCGTAAACTTTTGCGCATATCGTTTTCGAAAAATATTGTTTTATTATTTTGTCTTTTATAACATAATTATTATTTATTTTTATTTCATGTAGTTTAACTGTAAGTCAAAAACAAATAATCAAAAATCAAATAATGGATTAAGTGGAAAAATCCATTCAGAGTCGAAAAAAATATAATATTATATTTATTTAATTTATTAAAAAACAAATTCAAGTAAATTTTAAACGTTAAGTAAGGAATATGTTATGAGTAGTAAAAAGATTTAAAAGCTACATAACAGTCACACTAGTGCTGTTTAAATTATAGTTATGTACTTTTTATATCACTTTATGTTTTATGTGACTGTAAAGAGATACTTGTTCCTAGAGTTTAGTTAAATTATATTTTATTATCATTACTCATTATTTCATTAATGGACATTCAATAGGTACATTCATCTATATATCTTCTTCTAAATATATAAAACTCAAAGGTGACTGATATAGTGATCTATCAACGCACAGCCCAAACCACTGGACGGATCGGTCTGAAATTTGGCATGCAGGTAGATGTTATGACGTAGGCATCCGCTAAGAAAGGATTTTGATTAATTGTACCCCCAAGGATAAAAAAGGGGATGAAAGTTTTGTCAGTTTTAAACCGCTCGGTTTTAAAACTTGCATAGCATGCATAAAGCTACTATAATGCCTACGATGTGCGTCCCTATGAAAGGATTTTGATTAATTCCATCTCTAAGGGGATAAAATAGGGGATGAAAGTTTGTATAAATCTTCTTAGATTGTCGACTGACTGAGCTGAAATTAAAGATTGATGAAGATGAGGCCCTAATTTTCAACTTACGCTAAACAAAAGTAAAGCTGCAAAAACTATACCTAATTAATAATAATATTTCTTAACGCGAGCGTGTACTTAAAGCTAGAGTACCTATATAAAAAGAAAGTCGTATTAGTTACACTACTTATAACTCAAGAACGGCTGAACCGATTTGGCTGAAAATTCGTAGGGAGGTAGCTAAGAACTGGGAGAAGGACATAGTACGTAGTGTAGGTTAGGTAGAGTAGGGTAGGTAGAGTAGGGTAGGTAGAGTAGGGTAGGTAGAGTAGGGTAGGTAGAGTAGGGTAGGTAGAGTAGGGTAGGTAGAGTAGAGTAGGTAGGGTAGGTAGAGAAGGGTAGGTAGAGTAAGGTAGATAGAGTAGGATATGTCGTCAAATGACGAGAGCGACGCCGACGCCACGGGTAAGAGCTTGTTTGAAATAAATTTGGTTTTCCTTTCTATCTTCGATCTTCTCATTAGAAATAATTAATTATGGAAACTTTACTTACAACTCCAGCCGGGCTAGGACCTTTGTGAGTTGGTCCCGTCTATGGCGATTTGATGTGTATTTATGGCGAATATGGAACGCGACAATTCATTCGCTCGGCTTCTGTAGCCTGGAGTTCTTCGGGGCGCGAAGACTTTCGTTCGTCCCCACACGAGCTCCACCTACTCCTTCGTTGGTATTACATCAACGCAGAAGGATGAGTTGAGCTTCCCATAACCCTGGCGGCCATTCAACTGTTTTCTTTTTTTTTGTTTTTTTTTTTTTTAAAAAAAACGTTGGTTAGGATTTTTTCCTGTATCGTGGTTACAAACATACAATTTCACATACGACGTTTCGAACCCGCGACACGTTGCACGGCAGCCAGTTGCCCAGCCACCGCACCAACCGTGCAGTCAAACATCATCAAGTGTTGAGAACATAATATTGAAATATTTTTTAAATTAATTAGACAGATAATAAAATATTTGTTTTACAACCTAATGAATTACTTAACAATAATTAACAACTTCTTAGTAACAAGATAAATCAATCATATTAATTGTTAACTTGACGACCTCTGCGACTCTTGCATACATTACAGTTGTGTGAGTCAGTCAACAATTATAATATTAGAAAAACAAAAGAGTGCGTCACCACTTAGGGGTAAATAATTTGTCCCTGGATTGTATAAATACATCGATGATTTTGTCACTAACCGATGGATTCCCGTCAGAATACTTTTCCCGAATAATTTCACACTTTGTTGTTGGTTTATTATTAAATATGATAACATTGAGATGTTGGAGGAGATGACTTCTCTCACCCATGGTGGGGCGAGAGGTAGTGTCAGAATTTCACAGAACAATAACCACCCTGTTCGGCCCGGCGTTCTCCAAGCCGGGCCGAGCAGGGTGGTTGGACAGGCTTATTGAGAAATAAACAGGCGACAACTTAGTTTACAGTAAGAAGACCATTGATGCCCCTGGATCTGTAAGTGTAAAGATTACATTGTACACATATTAGGAATGTGGCAGGGACTACAAATATTGCTTTACAAAACTAACGATGAAGCCATAAAATTACCATAAATGACCACTCCTTAAAAACTTTATAAATAAATAAACTTCATTCATTCAAGTAAAGTATTCACAAATGTGCTGTCAGTAAGCGTTTGGAGAAAAGTGAAGATCAAGCTTAGATCTATCAGAGGACTAACGCGAATTGATAAAAAAAACTAAACACGGTCATAAAAACACCAAATGTCCTAATCCTAAACACATAATGTCCTAAGGATCTCATTACGTAATCTAGTACTAATGGTTTACCCGCTGCTCGGCTCGCTTCATTTGATCGTAGCATGATGTTTTTAGCAGAAAAATTGTAGCTATCTATCAGTGAAAGAATTTTAACAAAATTTTGGCAATCCGACCTGCGGTTCTAAAGATAAGTACATAAAAACTTAAAATTTTTTTATAATATAAGTATAGAAGTATAGATAGATACAATAACACTTTATTTAGTTCAAGCTTGTTTATAAACTTGCTTCAAATGTTTTTATTTTGAGGTATCGCGTGATCATATGTATATTTTTTATAACATAGAACTAGTTAGATAATTTCTTGTTGTTTATAGCTTGTTGCCATGCCAGTTATATCATTTTGTACTGTCATATCATCCATTTGATAAACCTTCAGCCTTATTGAAGAGCTATACGGTTGAAAATCGTTTGAAAAAAACTGTTATTTTGGGTTACTTTGCAGTGCGTTTTCTGCTCTTGATCGTCGTTGTCGAATCCATTCGACAGACATCGTTTTTTCTTTCGGTGTACAAAAAATATACATAGTATAATGATTGACGGCTATTCTAACTTTTTTGGTTTTTTCAATTCATTGACGCAAGCTCAGGTCTGTGACGCAAGGGTTTTAATGATCCTTACTTTATATGGGATCATTAAGATTTATTTATACATTTGTTAATTTATTGTTTACATGATTACTGCGCATTTGAGCTTGAGCAGTAGGCAGGGGTGATAATAACTGCTAGCTAGTTTGCTAGTTAATTACTAACTTTAAATATTAGGTGATGTGATTGTTTTTTCATTGGTAATATCATTCAATGACGTCTCCCACATTGGATGGAGCGAGAGGAAGTTTCAGGCTCTGACCAAAAATCATCCCGTTCGTATTCCTACTACGGCCGAGGCCACGGTACATTCTTGTTCGTTCACCAGCCTAGTGTATGGCTTAAGGCGCAAATCCAGGCGCTGTACTATTTCAGAGAACTTGAAATTCGAAAATACCTAACTATCATCAACCAATAAGTGCTGACTGCTGAGCAGAGGCCCCTTCTCACAGGGAGAAGGTTTGAACAATAATCACCACGCTTGGTTTTTTTTATGATTAGAAATTATAAGTCTAGATTTCCTTACGATGTTTTCCTACATATAACTTGGAAAAATCGCATCAAACCTTGCCCAGGTTTCCAATCCGCACCCTCATTCACGAGAGGTGGGCGCCTTTACTTCTGGGCTACACTACCACCGACGTAAAATCCTAATACTGAAAAAAAATAGGGATTTTACATACGTGACTTGTTAAAAACCATATCAAAAATAAATTGTTAAAAATAAAGCCATTTTATGAGAACCTGCTTCCATCGTTTCGGTTGTTAGGCTAAAATTAGATTCGTAATTATAATGGTCTCAAAAACCCCATTACAACACGTTCGAATTTTTTATTTTGAATTTAAAAATAGAAGCTTTATTACTGTGGTAAATAAAACAGAGGTGAGTACGTACTTTATATCTTTTTCCTTTATTTGGTGTCTCATTATATGAAGGACATTTTTTGTTAAGTTATAATAATTATGAGTTGACAGTAATTCACAGAAATTGAAGAAAAATGTAAACATCGTTGTGTAAGAATTGAGTCACCGTTTTTGGTTTTAAAAATATTAATGTTTTTTTTTTGTTGAAACTACGAATAATAATATATTTTTTTTAAATATTTGGCAACCGTTTTTTGCCAATCACTACTTTTTTACTAGTATGTAATGGTCTAGGTACTCTCACTCGGACCTTGATGATAATGATAATTGTGTAGACTTTGAGCATTTTGCAGAAAGCGAAAAAATCATTTGTTTTTGTGTATACGTGCATACGTATGTACATATAAGCGTAAGTTTATGTTTTTGTCCCTTGAGGTAGGTTGAATCCTTCCATCACATTCCACCTACTAAAACTTCTATTTAAAACAAACTATGACTTGATTCCGATGATTTATTAAACTACAATACTTTATACAATCGACTTAATTTTGTTACAGTGCGTAAAAATTTGGTATTACACTATTTAAAACTGATCTCTCAGTCCTCAGCAGCGAGGAAGGTTTCATAGTTCTCTTTGTATTGGTCTTCAGGGTCGTACTTGGCGAGGATCTGCTTCCAGTACTCCTGTTCCTTAGCTCTGATGTGTTTGACGACCTTTCTTGCACCCTTTTTCTGTTTCTCAGTACATTTGGAGCAAGATGTCTGCATAGCGTCCTTGATGTGAGCTGAAATAAAATTAATTGATGTTTTATTGTTTGTCCTTGTTATGTTGTCTTTGAAACAATAGGAATAGAGCTATTTATTTATTTATTTATTTAATATCTTTATGCACAAAACAAATGTACAAAGGTGGGCTTAATGCCATGGGCATTCTCTGACAGCCAAACCTTTGGATGATGCAGAGATAAATATAAAGGTGCACAAAACAAGCATCATCTATTTCTTACTATTGTGTATGATATATAGATAAGTATCACCTAATATATTTTTTATGATCAATTAAGTCCTAGACTTGACTGGTTGTTACACTTGCATTCACTCTTCTTTAAAAAATAAGACACTTTGTCATTTTTAAAAGAGAAAACAAATGAACACGATTTTTCGTACAGTCGTATATGTATATTAAACTTTATACCTCAGAGCGATTTATTGAAAGTATTGAACACACCTAGTCAAAGTTTGATAACGAAATCATATTGCGATGTAATTCGACGACAACGCCATCTAGGGAATTCAAGTGTAAACTTTGGTACAAAATAGTAAATTGGCGTCGAAAAAAATATTGAACAAAAATTTATTATTTTTGATATTAATGTGAAGATGCATACTTGGGATTGTTCCCCCAGAATTATGATTCTCGAAATACCCAGATTCATTAACGCAGTTTCATTGCATTCGGTAATAAAAATAACAATCATTTTGGAATCGTGATTTTTCTACACATACAGAGATTGAAACATCTGATATGCATGATTAAATTTGCTATCGTCATCCTGGGACCTACGTCAGTCAATCTGGTTATAATTACTTAACAATAAATATAGAAATGCATGTTATAATACTATTTTTAAACAACTGCGTATTGTTGTTTTCTAAGAAAAAATAAAATAGAGTGCTGTATAATTAGTTATTTAAATTTCAATAGCTTAGGGTAAGGTGAAGGATGATGTGGAAAATAACTCAGGAAAATAGGTAAACAACCCTATTTATCCATTTCAGGCAAGGGTATATGAGGATTGTCTTTCTTGGAGTGAAAAAAAATTCGGTATAGGAATCGACTTCCCTAACAAGACGACGTATACGTAAAGGTTTTCTGCACACGAAAACATTTTATGTATTTTTTTTATTTTGCTCATGAATATGAGTCCTAATCCTGAATTTTTACTTATGCTTGAAATTCTTGTCGAACAAGTATCTTAGTAAGCCGTTAATTATAAGAATTAATAAATAATTAGCACTCTTTGATGAAATCAAATACTAGAAGTGTTCTAAGAAATCACGGTCACTGCAGCCAATCAAACCAAATGAAGCAATATTCAAAGTAGTTCTAGATAAACATTGATAACTTCTAATACTAAGAACTCATTGTAATCCAGCGGAGTAACACCTAGATGTTATAAATAATAATATCTAGATTGATCAATATCATTGTATGTAAAATAACTTTGAGTACTTTTCCGTATTCTTAACATCTATAGAAGATTGCTAATTGTCTCGCTCACGGAAGGTTTTTTTCGTAGAATTGTTTTTTTTCCAGCTCACAAAAGTAAGATTTTAAAACATCAATACATTTTGCTAAGTATTCGTTGCTTCTTTTTTTTTAATAATTCATCATTTGTTCATACGAAGCCACTTTTGAATGTTTCTAAAATTGCAAATGTAAAAATCTAGTGCTTCAACCAAGGCACCGATATTTTATGTTTAGGAGACTTCCTAGACTTGTTTGTATTGCTATTGAATTGTTTGTCTAGAGACTACAAATAAATTTATCATCATCAGCGTGATTGCGTCCACTTCTGGACGCAGGCCTCTCCCATTGAACGGCACTAAGCTCGATGTTCAGCTTTTCTAATCCAACCACTGCCAAGCTGGAGACTACACCTAGCTGGAGGGCACACTACTCTACGTTTGCCTAGACGTGGTCTCCATTCTAGAACACATCTACCCCAACGCTTACAATATTGACCAAATTTGTGACCTGCCCACTGCCACTTCATATATACATATGAAGATTTTAGATAAAGGGCCAACAGAAGTATGTGTATTAACAAGCCTTATGCAACGAAATGTCTCTCAAAAATTTTAATTTAGAAAGTTTCTGACTTTGTTACTCTTGTGTTTAAAATAATTATAAAACTCGTTTTCTTACCTTTAAGTTCCCTGCCTTCAGGAGTACATCTTCCTTGGTCTAAGGTACACTTGATGTAGGGAACCAGCAGTTTCCTGTTCTCAATGATCTCGTCGATGTTGATGTGGTCGTATCTGTCTGTGTAAGTTTCAGCAGCGACGAAGGCCGCCATGGTCACGACAATCGACAACACGAGGAAATTCATACTGAAAGTTTTGAAAATGACCAAGTTTGAACAACACTCACCACTTACTGTATGACTACGTGTAAAATAATGGTTAGAATTTTATACATTTTTGCATTTTTATAACTATTTTCATAATTACGTCATATTTTTATGACGACCTTTTGTCTTTGTCATAAGTAATAGGTTTCGAAATGATTTATGTTTTGCATATATGGAGGTATTATAAAAAAAACATGTATTTTTTTATATACATCAGTCATTTGTGATTTTCGTTTCGTTGGCATTATTAAGAAAAGGCAACGAGTCACTAAAATGTTTTTGCTTTTTAAAATAAATATTGTGATAATTAACAATTCGGAGGGTTCTGGAAGCTAATCCAACGATTTGATAATCATTTAATAAAAACAAATGAATAAAAGATTGGAAAAAAGTTGATAAGTTTAGCAACCGAAACAAAAAAGACATTTGTGTTTTGAGAAAGCTTAGCTAAGCTTTATCAAAACACAAATGCTTAGCCAAGCTAAGCTTTCTCATAAATAAAAGGTAAATTATAATAAGTAATATGTAACTTTTGAGTACCTTCGATTTTAATAAATAATCCAAGCACAAGACAATAGAATCTCATTCGAGAGTATTGTGGGACACTGATGATCAAATGAAAAACGTTTTCATTTATAGGGATAGCTTGATAGCATCGATTAGTTGCGGAAAAACGTTTTCCATTGTCGTGGTAATTATGTAAAATACTTAACCTGCAACCCTATAGCAATTAATGTCTATTATTGATTACATTCAAGGTAGAAATATCGAGAAAAAAAGGTGTAAATCATGAGTCAGTGTGTCATGTTGCTACATACTATAAATGTTTGATAAAAATAATAACTTCTCTATCCGCCGGTGTCGCAAGAGCCTTTTTTTGATCTTTAAATGACTTCACTCACCCATGTTAAGGGAGTGTTTGTTTTATGTTTTTAAACAAGCACTTCCCCCACATTTGGATGTGGTCCCGTGTCGTCGTTACGTAAACGTCTATACAATTTCACATACACTACACACCCAGACTTGAAAGAATATTTTGTGGATAGCGAGAAGCAACTGCACTATGAGTGCGATTGCTAGGCAACTGGATAGCCGCCGCATCACTAGCGCAATCAAATTAGTTGTAAAATTAATAGATGGATCCAGGGATTTTGGATTAATATCGGTCATTTATTTTGACTGTAGACAAACAATAATGTCTTAAAGACTCAGTTAACTCAACTAACTGAGATGCAAAACTAAAAAATCGATCTACAAACAATGTTAACATACACAGCCATATACATCTAGGTAAAAAAAACTATTTTTTTTTTAATATAGCACATAATTTGTTTATTATTCATCAAATCATAGTACTCAATGTTCTCACAATTCGTTACTACGAATTGTTTACATCTTTGAAAATAACACAAAACAAGTAGTAGGTGTACAAAGACTAATTTATGATTCTATGGTACTCGTACCACAACATGGCCATTCATATTTATAGTTACAAGCAACTGTATGGGATTTGAGTAATGGTCGTGTATACTAAGAAACTATTAGAGAGATATAAAGTTATTGTCGAGTGATTTAATAATTTATATTGATAGGTGTAGGTAATTATCTTTTTTTGAGGGGAATGGAGGAGGGAAGGAGGGAAAGGGGGTCTTCTGTCCAGGCCGCGCCGCGGTACTTTATTATAGCGTTGGACCCGCAACCCCGGCTGACTATATAGGTACCTACTTTAATGCCTTGGATTGGATTGAAGAATTATTATATTTCTTTCTTTCTTCTTTCTATTTAATAAGAACGTTACAAGTCAATTTATCTCTATCGCCAATAAACTGTCTTACAGTTTGGCGATTTTTGATGTAAGTTAATAATGTAAAACTATTTTGTGAATAAATAAAGAAAAAACCGAACCGATTTTAACTAAACTTGGTACTCATACGCAATAGACACATAAAAACTTGATTTTCTTTAAGATATGCTGTAGCAGTGCTGTAGCACAATCGGAGCTCCGAAACAGGTCCATTACAGCTTCAAAAGATGGTCTTCAGGGCAGTTTTTGTGAAGTACAAATCTCACACTCCCTTGTCTTCCGTCTGAAAAAGGGCGCCTTTTAAGAAAAAACACAAAGGAGTGTTCAAGCTTACCCCGGTAAGGAAAAAATATTCTACAAACTTAAATGCCTTTTCAAAATATAGTGCAAGTGGTCAGTTGTGCGTAATTTTGTCCCTCTTTTACACCTCTTTTACAGCTCTTTTTCAAAAAAGTTTTTAGACTTACTTATCGCGTAAAAGTACCCAGTACCATTAAAATTAAGAGCACGTATAGTACCTTTTGCTTTATAAAATCAAGCCTCTAACTAGAGACTATGTTACTGTCTTTTCAACGTTAGGCGTTAAACATTTTCAGCCGGAGTTGCGGACGGTGCTTTAAAAAAGGCGTTACTATTTTATATAATGATAAATTTAACATACACAAAATATTACTGTATGAGAATAAATTTATTTACCAAACAAAATATACATAATTACGCATATTATTTTTTAGCTCCTGACAGATTTTTGTTAGCAATGAACTATAGCGCGTTGATGTCTTCTGTTCTGTGAAGTGAATTTATTATGTTATTTTTGTCAGATGATTTGTTAGAAGTAGAATGGAAAGATTTTTAAGAAAACAACGTAAATAGGTAAATGAAAGCAATTTATAATTTAAAAAAATATATATTCTACCCCATCCTATGTTCTTCTTCTGGTTCTAAACTACATCCCTACCAATTATCCACGAAATCGGTTTAGCCATTCTGGGTTATAAATAGTGTAACTAACACGAATTATTTTTATATGGTAACCCAGGAGAAATGTAACTCGGAATAAGTTACATTGGAACTTGTCAGGTTTCGAACCCGATGCATGAGAAGCGGACTCATTACCTCCGGTCCACCACGACCTACCCAGATGATAAAATTAAATGTGGTATAAACCTCAATTGCTTATAGCATTCTATTTAGTGACTTGCTTGTAAGACGATTAATTTTCGACTTATTATTTTGGATGTTTGCAATAGATGGCGTTACATGTCTTTCGGCGACTAAGCTGCATTCCTGCTCAAACTCACGGCAATAGATATACTCGATAATTCCGCTAGATGGAACTCTAGTGTTTGAAATTACAAAGACACGTTTTTTACGATATAGGTGGAAAACGACTATATTGGTCAGTTGATAGTAAGCAATCGGTGCCGCATATTTAGACTCATTCAGGTTTCGACGTTTTTGGTTAGGTCAAATTGAACTTAACTCACATAATAATAAAACATAAGTTTCTTGCGAGGACATGGTACTAAACCGTTTGAGTATGTCCGTTCAGTTTGAAAAATAATAAACTTATTCATTCGTTTTTTTGTTCATATATTTTACCAGCGATCCGCCCGGCTTCGCACGGGTGCAATGCTGATAGTAAATTTCTCCACTATTTTATGGATGTTCATGCATATCGTGTAGGCCATCTGTAAAAGGAGAGGTTAAAATAACTAAAAGGCCCATACTCATACTATTATTACGAGTATCTTGCTGCATGGCGTCGCAAACAGCGTAATTTAAGTATAAGTTTGGTGTTTCTTTATTGATTTCTATTTATTTTTTTTATTTAAAAGTAAACAATAAAAACTTTTTTATTAAGGGATGAATGAGAGTATTACAAACGTAAGAGTAAAAAAATATAATCAGAATGCTCCGAACAGCTAAGCTATCGAGAGGTACACGTGTTATTATGAGTCAATCATAAATTGTATTATTAATGGTACATAATTATGCTGTAATATTTTTTTAGATATTTTTATGTAAAACATTTCCGTAATACATGCTTTCTATGTACTTAGCATTACCGATTAAGGTGTGTTTAAAGTGTGGGAGAGCCATGCTTTGGCACGAATGGGTCGGCTCGACCGGAGTGACTCGAAGCTTAAAAAAAATGGAGTAATTTCTCCCATTTTCTCAACATTTACTTTTACTGCTCTGCTCTTTTTAACGCTAACATGATGAAAAGTATCCTATAACCTGCTTAGGAATATGAAGAATAAATCTACTTAGTTTCGTTAAAATCCGTGAAGAAGTTTTTGTGTCTATAAGGAACATACAGACAGACAGACTGACAGACAGACAAAAATTTTATAGATTTCATTTTTGGCATCAGTATCGATCACTAATGACACCCTGATAGTTATTTTGCAAATATATTTCATGTACAGAAATGACCTCTCTACAGATTTATTATAACTAATTATAAGTATATACAGATGTGAGATTTTCCAGGTAAAATTAAGAGTAAAAGAGTCAAATTAAGTAGCTTATCTTTTTTATTATTTTTGTTTTATCGCACTGTTTGAGAATAAAATCAAATTTAGTTTCGAATAATAATTCAGAAATTGTTACCATGCCGATGGAACGGGGCTTCATTATAAGATATTAAATTGGAACAATGGATGGATGTTTCTAATTTTCACGCAAAAAATACTCCTAAAATGTTGTGTGTTAGTGTAAGATTACTATTGTCTAAATATCTTAACTAAAAATAGCTGGATGTCAAAATACATAACTTTATGAATACATGGCTTACTTTTGCACCCAAGTACTTCGGGCATACATTTTTTGTTTGTTACTCCTTCACAACAGATTATAATCTAGAAAAACACATTGGCTGGCTATCATAAAACATATCAAAGCCACTAACAGAAGTTCGCTAATTTTATGAATATTAATTGTTTTCTAGAGTTTCATTTTTAGAGAAAGTAAATAGAAATAGGAGGGCAACCACTTTATAAGCTCCAATACACAAGGGAAAGTACAGCAATAAAAACATAATAACATTTTCTTTGGTTTATTAAAATATAATATGAAGTTTAACAAAATAAAAATACATACAAGGTAACTTTACATTTCATAAAGATAAAAAAATGCAATGGTAAATGGAACAAAAAATTGAGAAACAGTAAAAAAGTTCTGAGTAAAAAATTGAGCATTTGGAAGTGATCCAAACAGATTGCGTATAAGCATTTCTCATTTCCTTTTAGTTATGGATCTCCCAAAGTCTATAAAGAAATAACACGGGAAGACAATGCGGGGTTTGAGGAATGCTTGAACTGGATCTGTTTAAAAATCACCCGTAAGTTATTCTTGATAAGGTTTAGTTTATTCTGGGATTATGATGCCGTTGGCCTTTGCGCGGTCTTCGTAAGTCTTCCTCCACTTGCCGCTGGGGTCGTACTTGCCAGTCAGCTCACGCCAGATGTCCAGCTCGTTCTTGATCAAATGTTCAATGACCTTGTATGCTCCCTTTTCTTGATTTTCGGTACATTTCGTGCAGCCAGTCTCAATGGCATCAACCAGATGTTCTGAAAAAGAAATTTACTATTTGTTAGATGCTTTTTATGAATTATGTATATTACACATTCAATTTGAAAATTCGATTGGAAGAGCTCTTTAAAAAAGGTTTTCCTAATGCTCTTATCATGATTAATAAGAAATCAGTATATTTATTTCACAGATTGAATGACTGAGTTCGTATTTTTTTCATTTTCCCGGACATTATTTTTATGACAATCAAACAATAGGACCGTCGATTCTTGTATTTTCCTCATCGTGTAAGCTACGGAAAAGGATGACCCAATGAACGTGACTCAACTACAAAATAAATGTTATCACATTTCCTCACTAGTTGTTGGTTACTTTATGTCTACAATTTTTCAAAAGAGTTTCTTGCTTTTTCTTCTTTATTCGAATCCACAATTTAGAACGACCACCTAGCTTCACTGACGAATAGACTGACAAACTACTATTGCAAAGTACCTAAGTATTTATGGTTAAATAAATAATTTTCACTTTGACTTTGACTTTTTAAATTATGTTTAAGCTCTTAATTTGTTAAAGTTAAGGTTTGAATTATATTTTTGGAGTTTCTCGTCGTCTCACAGTTTCTAACAAATTACTAAGGTTGAAATCCTACGATATCGGGGATATTTCTTTATATTCTTAGTTATTTCCCCAGTTTTTTTTTATCATCATTCAATCAATCAATCATTTACTTTAGTGACATGTTTTTCGGGCTCAAGAAAGATACAAGTATGAGTAGGTTTTTGGTTTCGAAAAGGTCATCAATTAATCTATGCATTTTCTATGTATATCTTTCGTTGTGTGTGCACTTATATAACAAGTTTAGACCTTAATATTATATGACACTTATTATTACATAACTCAACAATAAGTATACAATACATTTCTGCTTACTGTGAGGTTAAGATAAATACTCTATTTTATATAATTACGCCGTCAAGGTGGGAGGTTAATTACATTTGCCATTGAACGATAGTACAACACGTGTACAGTTAACTATATTTGTTATTGTTATATGATTTCGGTTATCTTTTCTAATAATTAATTGTAGACAATTCGAATGAATAAAGACGATGACGGACAGGGTTTGAAAATTAAATTAAAATATAATTTATTTCGTGAAATAGATTAAGAAGAAATATGAAAAGAATTTTTTTTGTTATATACTAATTAATAATACTAAGCATAAAACGATTTTTTTATGTTACTTCTTAAGGTATTGTTTTAAATTAAACTAAAAGAATACATAAAATACAATTAGATTGTTGTTTTTAGCCGATTCTCTGAATTTGCCAGCGTATGAAATAATAAAAATAAATTAGATTTACAAAAACTTTTCAGTTTTAAAATGTATTATGAAATAAATCTAACTGGCTTTATTCTTAACCTTGGCCCACATGGTTAGAACGTCTGTAAGACTGACGTTTACAGAACGTAGGTACACTAATTAGTTGCAATCTCATTATTATATGAATGTGAGTGATTAGTGAGATATGTGAAACGCTGCCTCATTATGATCTCTTGATTACAAATCATTTTCAGATCACCCAAAAAAAACGTTAACAGATTTTGAAAAGATTTTTTTGTGTGTTATCATGTACATAAGGACTGTCAGATTGAAGAATTGGTTACAAGAGCGAAGATTGGCTATCGAGCAAGGCGTTTTGGATTCGATGTTAAGTTGGTTGGGTAAAGAATTTATTGTTTTTTTAGAGACATTTTCTAACTTAAAGCATTGAGATACGAGAAAGATAGCATTAAAAGATTTATGGCTTTTTCCATAAGATCTAAGGGGATCCTATTTACATACATTGATTCATAATGGAAATAATTGTTTAAGTTTTGATACTACTTCAAGAATTAAAAGATGTAATGAAATACATACATACACACTTATATCTATCAAGTATAATGGAAGTCTTAACTGAACCATAGTGTTCTAATCTATCCTTTGATGCTGTTATAGAGACAAAGAACACCATCCATACTTACATAGAAGGAACGACCAATGAATGATGTATTGTTATTGATAGCCGTTTTAAATATTCATAGTTCTCCTTTACGTCAGCCATTGGCGTTCTTCTATAGTAGATAGCCATGTTTTATATTGATTAGTATAAATCTTTCTATCGGTCAAATATTCTGATCATCCTAATTATTCTTAATCACTCTAAATCATTCCTTAATTATTCAGTTATAAACAAAATATGTTCTTCTACTTCTTTGGTACATGGAAATTACTCTTTCCTAGCCATTTGCCCTCACAGTTACCTAGCCTATTAGCAATCCGAATTCAAAATCCTTAGCAATTGCTTTCGGAACAAAATCTTCACTAAGGAATATTTTAAGTAACATTAACGTTTGTCCGTAATGATTTTGTTTGAAAGATAAACACACACACAACACACTTTTGAACGTCAAGTAAAAAAGGAAAAACGTATTTCAAGAGCTTTAAAATTAAGCATGTCAGTCTGTCCGTCTGTCCTCTAGTGAAGCTATTTGCTCGTTCCAAAGTGTAGATTCCTATGGAGAAGAACGAGCAAGAAACTCCATGGTTACTCTTTTTCAATCAGTTTTACTATAGATTTCTTTGTTATTATTTGTTACATCAGTGCAGTCGTGTATATCTTTGAGTACATCAGAAAACCTGAATTCTATGTCATAGTATTAATTTTCATCTCTTTTAATTATATGTCAAAGTAGTAGACCAATAACTTAATGGTAAATGTTGTAAACATTACAATGTTATAAGACCAGCGGTCTTTAATCGAAGTTTTTGAACACTGAATTAGAATCTTACTACCTTAAAAATAAGGATCTCACCTTTCAATTCCTTGCCCTCGGGGCTGCACTTTCCTCTCTCCATGATGCAGTTCACGTAAGCAGTAAGGAGCCTCTTGTTGGTGAGGATCTCATCCAGATCGATGTTGTCGTACTTGCTGGTGTACTTTTCATCATCAGCCAAGACTGCGGCAGCCATCAGGCACAGTACTAGTACGAATTTCATGATGCCCTGGAAGAGAAACGCATTTTTTAATCTTAAGATATTTTATTAAGATAGTTTAATTTAAGATTATTTTTAATTTAAGATAGTTTATTATTATACTTTAGCTTTTACTGTGGAGGGAATATCTTATTGACTAAAAACACCTCGTTCCTTCTCCTGCTCGGGGCCGAGGCCGCGGTACCTCAATGCGCTTAACCCGGGAATGCTACGATTATATTTTATTCCAGTTAAAAAACAGTGATTTATAAAAGAGACGCAATCCTGTGGTTGCGTTGACTCCTTAAAGCTGTCTTTAAGGAGTAAATATGTATGCATAGTAATGTTTAGTTAAATGCATTTATAGATTGCATACATACTGGATTACATAAAGCTAACCTCTAGTCTAGATACATCCAAATAATTACATATTTTTTATTTTTTTGAAAATATCAACTTTATGGTATCTATGCGAAGCATCATTAGACACTGTCACTGTTACATAAGAGTACATATTCTGATCAAAGAGTCTAATACACAAGACAACTTATTAGAAAAAGAAACACAATATCACAAATCCCTATTTTACCTTCCTTGATTCCAAAGGCTAAAGGAATTATTTTAATTATTAACAACAAACACTGTCTCTTTTTAAATCTAAATTAATTAAATCTTTTAAAGTTCACTAAAATTAATAATATATTTGTATAACCTACCGTTTTGTTCCTGTCGTGTACTGTAATCTCAAGTAGCCAAGTGACTTATGATGTCCACTGTAATGATATGCCTCTATATATACTGGTGGCCGGTGTGCTTAAAACATCTAATTTGCCCCTGGTTGGCTCATTATTTTATGTGTCTTCGATGCATAGCTCGTGGATGTGTTGTACAGGAGGTTTTATTTTTTTTAACAATAGAAATTGTTCGAAATTCAAATTTATTTATTCATTTTTATTTCTTCTACATTATTATTGTCTTAAAATTAGTAATAAAATTGTGTTTTAAATACTTTTTGACACAATAAAATGTAATATATTTACTTAGACACACAACTCAACAGAGCATACAAAAGTTTTTATATATTCACTTTATTTAGTTTTCAAGGCGAAATATTTAGATTATCTACTCATTATAATTACCTTATTATGATAATTTTATGAAAAATTTAATCATAGTAACTACTTTAATTGTTAATAGGTAATTCAGGAACTTTTGCTGAATTATCTTAGATTTTTTCTTTTACAATGTCTTATTGTACGATTACCATGGCATGGGAATAATAGAAATGGAAATCGTTAATGTTAATTATTTCAGTAATTATTCATGGCTTGGTATTATTACTTTCTTACAAAAAAAAATATGTCGATTGATCTGGATACTTTTCCAATGTCACTCATAGAGTACGTTTAAGCCAATCACCACCCAGAGAAGCAAAAACTGCTCTAGTCGTTATTAACCCTATCTATCATTAATCATAATTATCCTAACGATCTTTGTAGAAGGCAAACGTCTCTGAAAAGATTAAAGAATATTTTTTACTACTGTAACCTGCATTGAAAAACATTTCGTGTGAGGTTAACTGTTTTTCTTATTCACAATTCAAGTGTACTAAGACGAAGGCCCTGAACCTTTAAATAAATATATTTATAAACAGAGAACAATGAATCATCATCATTATCGTTATCTATAAGTACCAACGGCTGAGCAAAGGCCTCTACACACACGGATAATGTTTGAGGCAAATTGAAGATTTCAAATTCAACACTAATAATTATAAGTCAGAGTTTCATTTGACTGGTGACTTAATACATTAACAAAGTTCATTTGTTAATGTATTAATTTTGTATGTATTGTCTCATTGGAACTTTTTAGTTTCATTTATAATTTCTTTCTTCCTTTTTCTTTTTTAACCGACTTCAAAAAAGGAGGAGTTTGAGAACCTCCTCCTTTCGATTTAGATTCGATTCGATTGTATTTTTTTTTTATTTTTTTTTTTTATGTTTATTACCTCAGAACTCCGTCGTTTATGGACGGATTTGCAAATTTTTCTGCTTCCAGATTGTTATATAACGTGTCGTGGGTGCTTTACAAACATAAATTTCACCTACACACACATAGAGTTGTTTCGTGAATCAAACGCGGGACATATGTTGCCAAGCCACTACGCCAACCGTGCAGTTTCCCATGCATGAGAAACGGGTGCCCTAACTTTCAGCCACCTCATGTTTATTTAGAAACAATCATCATCGGATGATGTCGATATTTTATTTGAAAAGCGATTGTAATGTACCGAATTATGTTGCAGTTGTTTGACAGAAGTAAGGAAGAGTATAAATGGCTCAATTATTCTGAATGAATACTTTTTAATTCTATTCTTGTAATAGTTTGTTTTTTTTAGATTGTGTTATGTAATTTAGATTTAAGTTTTGACAACATAGCTTTAATTTTATTTTTTGTTGCATTATTTGTTCAAAATTAATTAATTATTTTAATAACCGTGCATAATATTATAGTGCATGCTGTGCTTCTCTATAAGTAATGGGGCACTTAGAATTAAATTTGAAAAGTTCAATTTATACATATAGTATAGTGTACTTATTGTTGAGAAGCCTAAAATAAATACATTCTTATTTTATTTCATGTTAAATCTTCTTAAGTAATGAAGGTCCAAAGTCTAGCAGTGTAGTGTAACGGGTTGTTAATGATCACATAGCTAAGATTAAAGCAATCTAGTTTCAAAACATAACCATTTTTTGTCGATTCTTGCCTGAAATCGTGCGCAGACATATTGCTCTAGTATGTTAGTTGCTTACATAATTTAGTGCAACTCAGAATACAGTACATCCTAATGTAAATATGATACTTATTATTTGTATTAAAGTTTTTTTTATATTTAATTAATGCTTAAATATTGCAAGATAACTAAACATTCTATTTAAATATTTCCTGAGGTCGTGGATTAGAATAAGTTGCATTTTTAGTATCTTTAGTAGACATATCTTAGCCTGTACAAAAAGTATCTCGAATGTTGAGATTCAAATCAAGACTAGTGGGTCATCCTGGCTTCGTTCATGATTCTTATCCATGATTTTTTTAATATAAGCTTTCTCCTAGAACTTGCAAAAACTATAAAAACGTTACAGCATACTAACACGTTTTTCAATTAACTAAAGGTAAATTCAACGATGAAATGAAGACACCTTCACTTATAATTTCTAACTATATGTTTGAAACCTCCAATCAGTCTTAAGCAAACTCAACTTTCTTGAAAAAAGGCATTTACTCAGCCGTAAGCATTTAAAGGGTCTGATATAGAAAAGAGGTTATCTATTAAGGTTGTAAAGTACTAAAATCCATTTAAAAATACCTATAATACTTATACTTATTATGTCTAGTTCACTCAGGCAAAATGCTAACTGAATCTCAATAGTAATATAATGTTCTAGTATTTTACGCGTGTATCTATCAAAATTGCCTGTGTGTGTTAGTTACTTAATTAGCTTAATTAGCTCTTAAACCATTCCTGAGACCCACATTTTTTGATAATATCTATTTTCAATGCTGCTCACGGTTCCATTTCGTGTTTTTGATTGTGACTCAGTTTCTGAGTGTAATTCATTATTTTTGATTTCTAAATAGGAGAGGGTTTAAATGTGGGAAAGTCATGCTTCACCACAAATGGAGGGAATACAATGACCTCCAAAAAAAAACTGGCGTGGAACATAAAGGTACCGTTTGAACCTTCTCCTGCAAACTTAAATTAGCATAATAAAAAAATGTATAAGTACGAAAATTATGTCATCTTGATACCTTAGTTATTTTGTAATGGACTAAGAAAAATACCGTTAGCAACAGCCTTTATTGATGCAGTCTGAAATATGTATAAAATATAAATATCATCATCATCAGACTATAAGTGCCCACTGCTGAGCAAAGGCCTCTTCTCACACGGAGAAGGTTTGAGTATTAATCACCACGCTTGCTCAATTTGGGTTGGCGATTTAAAACTTGAAATTATAAGTCCAGGTTTCCTCACGATGTTTACCTTCACCGTATGTCAAAAGTGACTAAATAATCATAGAAGGTACATATAACTCGGAAAAACTCATATTGGTACTTGCCAGGTTTCGAACCCCGAACACCCTCATGCATGAAAAGCGGGCGCTTTAACCTCCAGGCCACCACGATTGTGAAATATAAATATACCAGGCCTGTATATTCCCCAATAAAATATGTCAACGGCTTAACAATTTAGTATTATCACCTTAGTAACAAAGAAGCCTGTGTTTATTTTCTACACGCTGTATATGAAAATTATGTTAAGAGGAAACGCTCGCAGGGTCTTCCGTTTTCACGACCGTTATGCAACCTTGAAACTGCGTTCATTGTTTATAGTTTTTTAAGTAATTATTTTCACATCACAATCTGTTCATAAAATCCTAGACAGAAACACAGGAATAATAAAATATAATAATTATAATTAAATAAAGTATTCTTATTTGATTTAATCATTGTCACAGAAAAAATCTTGAGTGTCAATTAAATTTAAACCTTATTTTAAGCGGCATAAGTTTTGATTCTCTTTGTTATAGTAGCGTGGTGTGTTGAAACAGAAGTGTCATTAAAATTTCTTCTTTTTTGTACAACTGAAAAGATTTGACATTGTATTGTTTGTTAATTTAAAAAAAAAAATACTTAAATTTCGAATGACGTACGACAAAATTGAGTTATTTCAACATATTAAGTGTCTGTGGTTTTTTTATACACTTCTCAGACAAGTAATAAAAAGAAGAAAATCATAATAATTGTAACACAATTTGTTTGTTTATAGAAAACGTGGGTATTGTTGTAAACAATTATACATTAAAACCCAATAACTTTTTTGTTTCATACCCTTATGACTGCACTATGCTATCCATTAAATCGTCCAATAAACTGACTTAAGGGAAAATGGGTTGTGGGGCAAGCGCAAAAATATACCGCAACTGCGGCTTGGAACAGAAAACGGGTTGGTTTTTTGTCAGTAAGAGTCTGACGCTCCCTCTCATCCCACCCAGGGCCAGAGAACACATTTGTTGATGCTTTTCGCCACAAAAAAGGGAGCGTCAATTTTAATTAAAACCTATCCAAACGCTATTAATAAAATATCTTAAAAAAAAAGATTTTTTTTATGTCATAGGTCGGCGAACGAGCAGACGGATAACCTGGTGGTAAGCAATCAGCGCTGCCCATAGACACTTTGAATACCAAAGGAGCTACGACAAGTTCTTTACCGGTCTCTTGTGGGTTAAAATGGATTTAAGGATAGAGAATTTGTGGATTGAGGATGGAAGGGGAAAGGATTGGGCCTACGCGGAAATCTCAATCAATCACACGGCAAAATACAACGTAAGTGTTGCTTCACGCCGTTTTTCTGGGCTTTGGTATCACTCCGGTCGAGCCGGTCCATCCGTGCCGAAGCATGGCTCTCCCATACTTCTGTCTTTCTCGACAAAATAGACTATCCAACACATTTGCGTACAAGCAAATTAACAAACGAAATCATCAGTTCTATAATATTAGGTAGTATAGATTCGCCTTAAGTATGTTCCACTCGGGTTATCATATTAAGTCGCCGGGTCGAGCATAAGTGACAAATGAATACAGCAGACGCAACAAGCATGGAATGACCTTCGTGCGCTTGGTTTAGCAATCTCCTCTGTTTATTATGATTTGATAAATAACTTTTTATTTACATATTGAATATAGAATATTGAT